AAAAAAAAAAAAAAAAAAAAGAAATGTCAGTGAAAGATGTTGGGCAGATGAGTATATGGACAAAGCAGTTTTTTGTTGTTGTTTTTGAGACGGGGTCTCATTCTGTTGCCCAGGCTGGAGTGCAGTGGCATGATCATAGCTCACTGCAGCCTCCAACTCCTGGGCTCAACGATCCTCCTGCCTCAGCCTCCTGAATAGCTAGGATGACAGGCATGCACCACCATGCCTGGCTAGTTACTATTATTACTTTTAATTTTTTTGTACAGATGGGGTCTTGCTGTATTGCTCAGGCTGGTCTCGAGCTCCTGGGCTCAAGGGATCCTCCTCCCACAGCCTCTCATAGTGCTGGGATTACAGGTGTGATCCCTGTACTTTGGCACCTGGCCAAAGCAGTATTTTAGAGGATGTATTTGTCTTACTGTGGTGTGTAAGGTGGTGAGAAGGAGAGAGGCAGGGAGCCAGATAGGCTTCACATAGCAGTAATAGAGGACTTTGGTTGATGATAACAATAATGCCTTATATTTATGCATAACACTTTACAGATTATAGAACCTTTCACAAACATGATTTCATTTGACTTAGTAATCCTGTGAGGTAGGCAGGCTGTTATCCTATTTTATAGATGAGGCACCAAAGAGGGTAAATGATTTGCCTTAATTTTCAAAGCTATTAAATGGCAGACCAAAGTGATGCGAGTGTTAATGGAGGAGAAGGGAAGGATGCAGGAGGCAATACTAGGGAAGAATTGGTAAGTTGGACCTGAATGATATGAGGATACAAAAGAGAAGAAGTTCTTAGGGAAGAGTCAGAATAGTTGGGAGAATCATAATACTATTGACAACTGCCACTCTAGGTTTTGGTCTGCCAACTCTATCATTGCTAGTGGCTGCCTGAAGCCCCAGGTTAGGAGGAATTATAGTAGATGATTCCCAGGTTGCTTGGCCTGTCTACAGCTACTAGGTGGTACTGGGGAGACTTGAGCTATCTGTCTCATACCAAGGGAGATAGGAACTGAGTCCTCAGTGTCCCTTGAAGAGGTAAGAGCTGATAGATTACCTAATGAAGCCTATCTTAGGGTCCTTGCCAACCTTGAGACTCTGACTTTGGCTTTATGTCCTTTTTCTCTTGAAGTTCAGGCTGATACCTGTTGAACTTGGCTGCTTTATGTCCTTTTTCTCTTGAAGTTCAGGCTGATACTAGTTGAACTTGGCTAATGAACCGATTAGGTATCCAGTCTGGCCTCCCCAGGCTCCTTCATATCTCGTAAGGGCTTCACTGCAGCAGATCATGGGCCTTTGCTGTCCCTGAAGCCTCACTAATGCCATTTCCCAGAAGATCCACACTTCATCTAGAGCCCTTTCTGTGGTTCATTTATTCTCAAGCATATGAACTTGAGATTTAATGTCACTACCAAATTCCATAGGACCATGGGCTATTTCTGCACTTTTAATTTCTTAGGTTCCTATCTAGAGAGGAAAGAGCCACATCTATTGGGGTCACATGCACAACTATTAATTTCTCCTGTGGGTGGTCTTTAGGGATGGAGCTACTCTCTGGGAAAGCTGTCACAGCCAATTTATATCCTTAGAGTCTGGTGTTGGTACAGGCTTCTATTCAAAATTGAGTGCTTTCTCTGTGCAAAGCACTGTGTTCACTGCTTAGAGACTGAGATGGATAAAATTCTCTGTACTGGAGGAATTCATGATAGAGTAAGGACAACAATGTTTTAGATAAAATGTGATATTATAATGGAGATATATTCAAAATCCTGTGTGAGGGCAGAGGAGGGAATGACTAGCTCTATGTGGAAAAGTCAGAAGAATATTTAGGAGAGAGGTGATAATTGAACTGAACCTTGAAGGATAAGGGATAACGGTCCTGGTGACATTTGCAACATTTGTAGAAGTGTAAGGGGAAAGGTAAGTAGATCCAAGTGGCTGGAATATAAGAGATCTTTGGGGTCAAAGAAGAGGTGATTGATGAGACTGGATTCAGAGTGAGGCCAGGTTTTTAATAGCCTGTAGTGCTATGCTAAGAAGATTCACTTTTGTAGGCAGGGAAACCACTGGAGGTTTTTAGGCAGGGAAGTGGCATGATTATATTTTGGGAAGTTAACTGTAGAAATAGACTGAAGGAGGAGAACCTGTATCAATAGAGTCATATAATAACATATACATGGTTTAGGGCTGAACTGAGGATTAGGTCAGTGGAGATGGAGAGGAGGGGATGAAACAGAGAGATTGTAGAGACAGAATTAACCAGATGTAATGACTAATTGGTTGCTGAGAACAAGAGAGAGGGAATTGTTGAGAATGACTCAGTTTTCTATTTTGGGTGGATTGTAGTGCCAATAGCAAAGAGAGAATATAGAAGAGGAACATTCTGGGGGGTAGGGGGGAAGATACCAAGTATGTTTTGGGTTATGGTGAACTTGAGGGCTCTGTGTCACTTAGCAGACAGGTAAAGATGTGGGTCTAAGGTCAGAAGAGAGTCTCTGCCTGGAGGCAGTAGGTGTAGGTGGTAGTTGAAGTTGTGGGAATGGATGAGCTCTCCCAGTCATGTTTATAGAAGGCTGAGGATGACAGAGGAGACTAGAAGGAAGGTAAGAGAGAATGTTGTCCAGGATGCTAGGAAAGGAGAAGATTCCAGGAAGAGGATCAGCAGTCTCAGTTGCTGCAAGGAGGTCAAGTAGGTCAAGCTTGGAAAATGCACCTTGAAGTTAGGTAGCCAGGAGATTGTGATCACCTGGGCCTTTAATTTTTTAAGTTTGGGCAGGTTCAGTGTCGTGGGGCCAGATGGCAATGGATTGAAGAGTAGATGGGAAATGAGGATAGGGAGTGTGTACTCACTTTGAGTAATTTAGCAGAGAAGGAAAGATTAGAGATGGTGGCAGCTTGTGGAGGAAGTAGCAGGCACTAGAGACAGTTTTTCCTAGAATGGAAGAGTCTTGAGAATGGGTTTTCTTCTTCTTCTTCTTCTTTTTTTTTCCCCCTTAAAGGCAGGTCAAGTGGAGCATGGGTTTTCTGTTGATGTGTAAGAGTCAGAGAGGGAGGGTGCAATTGAAGGAAGGCACAAGAGAAAAGATGATTGCTACATCAGCTCCTCGGAGGATGGTGGAAGGATTGGCCTTGAAAACAAGGGATACTATTATATTTCCTTTGAAGAGGAGTGATGGGTCCAGGAGTGGTGGCTCACACCTGTAATCCTAGCACTCTGGGAGGCCAAGGTAACAGAGTGAGACTCTGTCTCAAAAAAAAAAAAAAAAAAAAAAGAGGAATAATGAAAGATAGAAAGGAAATTAGGAAGAAAGAGGCAATGATGGATACATGTAGATATATCTAAATTTTCAAAGGAATTCTTACCTAATAGGCTCAATTTTCTTTCTCAGCAAGGTTATCTGCTGAGGGGTGGGGCTCAGACAGGAATAAGGACTTGAAAGTGATACAAGAAACTTAAAACAGGCCGGTGCGGTGGCTCACACCTATAATCTTAACACTCTGGGAGGCCGAGACAGGCAGATTGCTCGAGGTCAGGAGTTCAAAACCAGCCTGAGCAAGACCCCGCCTCTACTAAAAATAGAAATAAATGAATTGACCAACTGAAACTATATATACAAAAAATTAGCCAGGCACAGTGGCGCATGCCTGTAGTCCCAGCTACTCGGGAGGCTGAGGCGGGAGGATCGCTGGAGGCCAGGAGTTTGAGGTTGCTGTGAGCTAGGCTGATGCCATGGTACTCACTCTAGCCTGGGCAACAAAATGAGACTCTGTCTCAAAAAAAAAAATAAAATAAAATAAAAAGAAACTTAAAACGACTGTTAGGAGGAAAGAGATAGAGAGCAGAATTGAAGTAAGCTATGTTGAGTACCCTCTGAACTGAAATCCTGCACTGTGGGCCTCTCCTTCATCAGGAAGATGAATGAAGATTATGAGGAATGTGATGATAATGGCTGACATTTATTGAGTGCTTCAACCAGGCACAGTTTTAAGTGCTTTTCAAGCATTCTCATGTGATTTTTACAACAATTCTGTTAGAAAGTCATTGTTATTATCCCTATCTGACAGCAGAGGAAATTGAGGCAATGGAGGATTTCTTAGGCTTAATAGTACTTGTGTTTGATGAATCTCTTACCTCTGCAGAAATGGATTCCTTCTCCTGAGGCATCATAGAATGCAGAAATTTTAATCTCAACTCCCAACTGCGAAGGAGGGAGTCTTACTATGCCAGTCTGTGGGCATGGTGGTGGTATGGGGGGGGGGAGGGCAGTGGGATCAGTGTTACTGCCAGCTTTATGCAACTACATAGGGAAACTCTGAAATCCTGGAGTGATTTTCCAGTATCGTGACTAGGAAGACAAGTGACTGATAGTAATTTGTCAGGTATTGCAAGATGAGACTGTCACCTGAGATGGTGAATAAGAAGAGACCTTGTCCCCATTCCCATCTCCTAGAAAAAGAATTTCTTTTTTTCTACCATTCAGTTAGGGGATGAGGCAGACCTGTAACCTTATATAATAACATAATGATTATTAACTCACTTTTTGTGTTTTCCCAGTGTGGTAGATAGAATTTGCAGGTAAGGTACACACCTGACTTGAGTGAAAGGGGAGAATGGTGGGATGGCATAGATAGATGGAAGAGAAACGGACTTACCTTTTCCTGCTGCAGCCACTGGAGCATCATCTCTGTGTCCTTCCTTTTGAGGTTGCCATGGATACGCCTTTGCGTGGTGGCTTGAGATTGATTTCCATTATGATCAGATGATGATGTGGGTTTAAAAAGAGAAAGGATGGAATGTTCTGCTTTTGGGAAGTGGCCGGTGAGCTGCCCGAAAGGCAGAGCCCATTATAGCCAATGGGGCTGTGGCTTTGTTGGCTGCTTTGGCTTTTGCTGAAGTTGTGAAATGGTGCATCTCTCTCTTCAGAGCGCAGGCTCAGCGTTCCCTGTCTGCAGGGTCCTAGTGCCAGGAACTTGCTGGTTGGTTGGGGGAGGAACTAGCAGGAACTTTAAACAGGCTAAGGGGGACTCCTGCTACCACTGAGAGGATTTCAGCCCTTGAGTATAGTACCGAGTATCTTTTGCCTTCCTGCAGAAGTTCTTTTACTGAAGATATGTGGCTTTCCTTTCTGACTCTTGGAGGCCTGGGCTCATGGAAGTGGGCCTGGAAGTTACTGGATATTTTTTTTAGGGGGGGGCACACTTTGGGGTGGAGTAGAACTGCATTCAGAGTGGGAGTAGGTTGCAGACATTCGGGGGATAATGAGGAGCTGAAGAGGTGAATGAAGTCTATTTAGGGTCAAAGCTGTATATGTATATCTGTAAGGCAGATACCGGAGAAAGACCTAGGAACAAAGGCTCTATGTGTGTTGTCTTCTGGGGTTCCTGTGGATATCGGGATTCCAGCTTTCCAAGCTTCCGGTCCCCTAGCTTCCGTTCCCCACTCAGTAAGCAGACCCTTTTCCTTCCTGACTCCTGGAGGACTTACATTCACACTTACCTCTTCCTTACTAATGCTTTCAAAGGTATGTAGTTTTGCCCTGCTGTATACCTCTGCCTGGGTTTCAGACCAGCTCCTCTAGGAGTAGAGTCAGGGAAAGCAGACAGTTGGGTTAGCCCAGGATCAAGGTTTGGTGAGGTGAGACAAGAGACTGAGATATCAGAGGATGCTGGGGTGCCAGTAAAAACAAAGTAGAAATGGTTCAGACCAGGGACAAATGATAGAAGTGGAAAAGAGGCTTTCCCTCTTCATTTGTTCCTTCTTAATTCCTCAAAATCTTATTTTCCTGAAATTTTTCTTAAACTATTAGTAACCTGTTTATTAGACATAGACATAGATTTTGCCCTCCTCTCTTCCCATTTTCCTTGCTATTTTAGCAGTATATCATATCACTGGGGGAAGAAATTGGATTAGAAATCCAGGGAGTATTTTACTCCTCCCTGGCTGAGGGAACATGTAACTCAGGATTGTCCTATGGGACATGGGCTGGGGCCCAGTAATGCTGTGGAAGGACCACCTACCTGTACAGATAGTCAGATATGCCCCTCTGCCATTTTTGACCATGAAAGTTGGGTGAGTCATTTGACCTCTGAGACTCAGTTCTATCACCTGTAGAATGGAGATAATGGAATCTGTTTTGGCTACAACACAGATTCCTTTTTTAAGGAGATAGTGAAATATGTGTATTAGTGTATATGGTTTAATTTGCCCCAGAGAAGGCCCTAAGGAACAGGACTTATTTTTCTGTCTCTTAACATATTCAGTTTCCCTTCCCATTTTCCTAGTTCTGTTAATGTTTCTATCCTCATTCTTACATTTTTCTTTGCTTGAAAACTCCTGAGTTTGTTTGTTCATTTACTTATTCATGCATTTGTTGATCCATCCAGTTATCCTTGCAACATATGAGTTACTACTATGTTCAAGTTGTCATTCATGTACCTTTGCAATAATTATGAAGATGATATCCACAATTTGTTGAGCACATATTCTGTGCCAGGCATTGTGCTAAATGCTCTACTTAAATCTTTTTTTTTTTTTTTTTTATTTCAGTGTATAATAGGGGTACAACTGTTAAGGTTACATATATTGCTCTTGCCCCCCCTCCCCCTCTGCTTAAATCTTATTTAATCCTCACAACATCCTGGTGAGGTAACATTATTTCCTTCTTTTTGCATAATAGATGACTAGGGCCCAGAAAGTTAAATATCTTGCATACAGGTAAGGGAATAACAGAACCAAAGCTGTATCCCTGTCTGGAGCCCATGCAGTTCTGCTACCTGTTTCCTTGTGTCTGATCTATAGGGCCTTCTCAGGTTTTTTGGTATTATCTCTGAATTGTCCTCTTTCTTCTTCTCCCTCTCATGACCTTGGTTTAGACCCTCCTCACCGCATGTTCATTATTTCAGCAGCCTCCTTGCTGTTACCCTTGTCTTTGCCAAGGTGCTCCTGCGTCCACTTCATCCTGCAGGTGCCACTAGTTTGGTCTTCCTGAAACAGTTTTCACGGTGCAGTCTCCTGCTCAGGAATAAGACTGGCTTCCAGTTGTTATTGAATCAAGTCCACCCGTCTCTGCTTGATGTTAAACTCCTTGCCTATCCATACTTACCTCCTAGTACATCTCAATGTTAATATATTTATTTATTCAATAAATAGTTGACTAAGGGCTGTTGGATCATAAAGAGGAAAGGTTGTGGGCTCTGTTTCAAAAGGCTTATAGTTTGATAGAAGAAATCTAGAATTCTTCACTTTAGCTAAATTAATCTTCTTCTTCTTTTTTTTTTTTTTGAGACAGAGTCTCACTTTGTTGCCCACGCTAGAGTGAGTGCTGTGGCATCACCCTAACTCACAGCAACCTCAAACTCCTGGGCTCAAGTGATCCTACTGCCTCAGGCTCCCGAGTAGCTGGGACTACAGGCATGCGCCACCATGCCCGGCTAATTTTTTCTATATATATTAGTTGGCCAATTAATTTCTTTCTATTTATGGTAGAGACGAGGTCTCACTCTTGCTCAGGCTGGTTTCGAACTCCTGACCTCGAGCAATCCACCCGCCTCGGCCTCCCAGAGTGCTAGGATTACAGGCGTGAGCCACGGCGTCCGGCCTAAATTAATCTTCTTTAATATTCCCTAGTCAAACAAAATTATTTCTGACTCTATTCATACTGTGCTCACAACTTATAGTGCTTTGTGGCCTTACCTCTCCACATATAAAATAAAAATTCCCGTAACTTAAGGCATAATCAGGTACCCCTTTTCTTTCTAGTTTACCTTCTCCTATCTATAATTCCTTATAATATTTATTGTATAGACATTTTAAGACTTATATATTAATACCATCTAGTGTCATGTCAGATAATAATTCTTTGTATTTCTGTAACTTCTATAGTTTTTATAAAGTACTTTTATGTGCTTTATCTTATTTGAGCCTCATAATACTAATGTAGATTTGGCAGGTAATATTACCATTTTATAGGGGAATAAACAGCCTCCAAGAAGTTCGGTGACGTTTATGCCTATGTGACAAATGAATTATGAGGCTATTCTTAGATTCAAGCTCTTCTGAATTTTTGAAGGCAATGTGGTCTAGAGGAAGAACATAGCCTTGGAAGGCTAGAGGTGTGTGTGGTCATGGTGAGGAGGAGTAGAAAGCACAGAGGGATCAGGGTCAGGTTGGTTCTGCTCCTTATAATCTATGTAACTTCAAGACAGTTGCTCAGTTTTCTAAGCCTTTGTTTCCTTGTCAGCATTATGCCTGGCCTGTCTCTCTATCAGGTAATTGTATTGAACATGTATGATACTGACATTGTTCTTAGCCAACTTTTATTGAGCACTTACTAAATACCAAGCACTTTTCTAAATTTTTTACATAGATTATACTGGCTAATCCTTATAACACCTCTCTGAGATATGTCCTTTGTTATTTCCCAGTTGGCAGATGAAGAAATTAAGGATTGGAGGCTGGGCGTGGTGGCTCACGCCTGTAATCCTAGCACTCTGGGAGGCCGAGGTGGGCGGATTGCTTGAGATCAGGAGTTTGAAACAGCCTAAGTAAGAGTGAGACCCTGTCTCTACTATAAATAGAAAGAAATTAATTGGCCAACTAATATATATATAAAAAATTAGCCGGGCATGGTGGCACATGCCTGTAGTCCCAGCTACTCGGGAGGCTGAGGCAGCAGGATTGCTTGAGGCCAGGAGTTTGGAGTTGCTGAGAGCTAGGCTGATGCCACGGCACTCACTCTAGCCTGGGCAACAAAGTGAGACTCTGTCTCAAAAAAAAAAGAAAAAAGAAATTGAAGATTAGAGATGTTAAGTAACTAGACCAAGTTTATGTAGCTACCAAGTAGTAAAGCCAAGAAAGCAGCATGAGTCTAGAACCAGTACTCAGCCATGCTATGATAAAATGATGTGTTTTAAGGTACCCTGTAGACCTTTAAAAGTGCTCTGAAAATGTGAAGTCCAGGCTGCAAGGACCTACATGGCCCTGCCCACCTGTGTGCTGATAGATAGGGAAGGGAGGAGACAAGGAGATTTTGCAGGTAAGGAGGGAAATGGTTTCCTAGGGAATCCGGCCAGGATTGAAGATATGGAAAGGCCATAGTCGGGGCCATGTTTCTGGCTTTTGAATATCATTCTACTGTTGGGCTACCTGGCATGCCTTAGAAAGAGGGCAGAGCCGGGGAAGTCACTTCTGTCAGTGAGGGAAGCCCCACGCAGAAAGGACCGATATCCCTAGGCCCAAGGGATCTAGATCTATACTGGACCCTGCGGAGCCACAGGTCAGACCCTAGTCTAGCCTTGTTGGCTACTTAAGGGACAGGGACCCTGGCCTGTTGGTTCGTAGCACATGGTGGATGGGTAAGTAAATGAATTGCTATAGTTGTATAGCTCCTTGGAGACCTCTCACCATATAATGTATAATCTCATTAGGTAAAAAGATTAATTATAAAAGTAATACATGGTTATTACAGAGTTTTTGGTTTTGTTTTGTTTTTTTTGAGACTCTCTCATTTTGTTGCCCAGGCTAGAGTGAGTGCCATGGCATCACCCTAGCTCACAGCAACCTCAAACTCCGGGGCTCAAACAATCCTGCTGCCTCAGCCTCCCGAGTAGCTGGGACTGCAGGCATGTGCCACCATGCCCAGCTAATTTTTTTTTTTTTTTTTTGAGATAGAGTCTCGCTTTGTTGCCCAGGCTAGAGTGAGTGCCGTGGTGTCAGCCTAGCTCACAGCAACCTCAAACTCCTGGGCTCAAGTTATCCTGCTGCCTCAGCCTCCCCAGTAGCTGGGACTACAGGCATGTGCCACCATGCCCGGCTAATTTTTTCTATATATATATATTAGTTGGCCAATTAATTTCTTTCTATTTTTATAGTAGAGACGGGGTCTCGCTCTTGCTTGGGCTGGTTTTGAACTCCTGACCTGGAGCAATCCGCCCGCCTTGGCCTCCCAGAGTGCTAGGATTACAGGCGTGAGCCACCGCGCCCGGCCTAAAGAGTTTTTTTGAAACACAGAAATATGTAGAAGATAAAACATCTCATTGGGTCTGTGATGCTAGGAGGCAATACCAAGAGTACAAGGGGCAGGTGATTGAGGTGGACTGGGTCTTGTGCTACAAGGGGAAAGTGGAGCTCTCTGCTTTTGTCCACTGATTTAGTGATCCAGTTGAATTTGATGCTCTTGGGTTTCACAACCTGGCCCCTTACAGCAACCAGAAGGGAGGAAGAGTAACCTTTGCCAGTGTAGAGGGGCATGAGGTACCTGTCATGCTTTGTTGTATGTATGCAGTTGCCTCCATTGCTGCCCTTCCTTTGCAGTTTATTGGGCAGGGCCTTGCTCCTCTGGCCCAGTGTGAGATTGAAATCCAGGCCCTAATCACATGTATTTGGACCTTGAGTCCAGAGTTTAGAGAGGGGAGCAAGAGAGAAGAGCACCAGAAAGAGGTTGAGATACCCTTATTTTGGCTGTGTGGAGGCCCTAGGCAGCTAATTATTTTGAAATGTTCCTTGATGCTTGTGAGCCTGCCGAGGCCTTATATCCTGTGGGTAGTGGGGACAGTGATGGTGAGGGGGTGCAGAGTAGGAGGAATTATCAGAACTGTGCTTCCAGCCCCAGGACAGTATACTCTAGAGGTGAGTGCTGAGGGTCTGTGGTGTGGGCCCAGCCCTTAGTCCCTGGCCCAGGTGAAGCAGTGGGGCACTAGGACCCAGAGGCTAGCACGGTTCCTGACAAGTCTAGAGCAGCACTAGCGCAGAGTGAGACTCATCAGCTGGCAAGCAGGATTCGGTGTCTCTGGTTCAGGAATCCTCGGGCAGCAGAAGGGGACTTGCTCCTCAGCCCCCATCACTGCCCCCATCCTTAGCCCTGTAGGCCACCGAGTGAGGCCCATGGACTGGGGAGGGCCGTGCCTGACGACTCCTGTGTCTGTCCATGAGGGCCCAGCGCCCTGACCCTCCTGCCTAGGTTCCTACCTTTTCTCTCTGTCTTTGGCCAGCTGGGGGAGGGGGTAGAGGCCGGGTGAGCAACATGGCCCAGAGCAAGAGGCACGTGTACAGCCGGGTAAGTGGCCCTAATCTGGGGTGGCCCTGGGAGGGCTGCTGGCGAAGGCCTGGGTGCCTGTGGACAGCTATGGGGGCTGGGGAGATAGGCTGGAACTCAGCTGGGCACACTCACAGTCTGTTTCTAGGAGCCCTCAAAGCCCTCATGGTGTTAGGCTGGACACCTTAACTTGAAGGTCTGGAGGGAGGCACAATTGTGAGCCTCTGAAAAGGTGAGGCCTAAGAGAGCCATTTGTACCACAAGGAATACAAGTGACAGTGGAAAGGGAAACAGGTTCCCAGGGTTGGGTTCTAAATGGGGACGGGTAAGACCTGACCTCTGACTGTAATTGGCCCTCAAGCCAGGGGTTCCTGACAGCTGCCAGACTATCTTGGGGACTCAGAATGGGGTTGATGGGTCAGAAAGGCCTTACAGTGAAACCTTTCTTTAGAGCTGCTTTGTTGTTTGTCACTTGCTTTCTCTCTCTTCTCAGCTTGAATTTGTACCTACTGTGTGTCCACCTGGTTCTGAGAGGCTTATTGGGGTTGGAAAATGGGGGTAGTCTCTGACTTTGGGTCTTGCCTTGATGTCACTGGCAATTCCTTTTATTGTCAGGTCCATGGGAGCCACCCTGCTGTCTCAGGTGTGGTTTGGGGTCCTGGAGCCCCTGGAAACTGTATCCTCACCTTCTTGTATGAGCTCTTTGGGGAGGGGAATTAGTGAATGATAGGCTGGGAGATGTCCTGGCTCTGGCAGGTCTCCCTTCTGAAGCTAAATGGGGGGTATCAGAAGGGAGCCCTGTGGAATCTTTAGGACTGTGGTGTCACATCTTTATGTCTCATTCATCTGTTTCCTGCAAGGCCCCTGGTTTATGGAGTTGTTATTGCTAAAAATGGCTTAGGTGTGATTTTCTTCTAAACCATGGGCCTATTTGGGACTTAATTTCGTGTTGTGTTCTGTCATCACGGGTGTGTCAGAAGCTGAGAGCTGCCCAAGGACAGAGTCTTACTCTGTTTCTTTGCCTTGCCCATCTATGGAGTGATAAGCCATACATTTGGACTGCCAAGCAGTGTCTGGGAGACAGAGTGAGGGACAGATCTTAGGTACCTGATTTACTTGGGGCTGTGTTTTTCTCTTTATAGCAGCATAGCATGGGAGAAAGGTCTCCTGAGCTTGAGGGTAGAGAGTTGACAGATCAGGACTCTAACTAGAAAGAAAGGAGTTGAATGTCTGAATGGGCTGCAGTGAGGCATCCAGGAGTGCCATGGTGGGTATGTGAATGGGGTGGGAGGAGTCAGATCAGGAAGGCATGGTGTTAACTTAAAGGTCTGAGGCACAGTTGTGAGCCTCTGAAGAGGTGAGGCCTAAGAGAGCCATTTGAACCACAGGGAATACAGGTGACAGTAGGAAGGGAAACAGGATTCTATAGGGTCACCCACTGAATCCACCTGTCTTCCTAACTCAGGCTCCTGGGTCAGGGCATTGGGTTGTGGGAAGCCTGGTCTAAACTGAGTTATTTGCTTGAACTTAATTTATCTCCTGAGAGGAGAATTAAGGAGGCAGTGCTCCTAAGAAAGCAACCATGTGGTGACATTCACAGATTGATCAATGAATTCTGATTTGTTATAAAATTTAAATATAAGTTCTTAAAAATTCTAGCAGATTCCAGAGGAATTTGGAGAAGTCTTAAAAGATAACATCACTGACATTTTTCAAAGAGGAGTTTAGGGCTCCACCTCACCCTGAGAATAAGATTCAGGGAAATGACTTCTGGTTCTTAGTCTAGAATCCTGTCTGGGGCAGTTCTTATGCATTAGGATGCCACCCTTGACCTGAGGCCTCTAACTGTGTATGTTTGCTTGTGTCTTTCTTTCAGACGCCCAGCGGCAGCAGGATGAGTGCAGAGGCAAGCGCCCGGCCTCTGAGAGTGGGGTCCCGTGTGGAGGTAATTGGAAAAGGCCACCGAGGCACTGTGGCCTATGTGGGAGCCACACTCTTTGCCACCGGCAAATGGGTAGGCGTGATCCTGGATGAACCAAAGGGCAAGAATGATGGAACTGTCCAAGGCAGGAAGTACTTCACTTGTGATGAAGGGCATGGTATCTTTGTGCGCCAGTCCCAGGTACTCATCCCCTGCTTCTGTGTCTATATGTGAATGTATGTGCATGTATCTGTTGCTCGTGCAGTTGATGTGTTGATACTTCCTTTTCCTGGGCATGGGCATAAGCCTCTGGTTGGAAGAGTGGGAAGTAGCTGGGGAGGGAAGATCAGAGATCGATCCTTAGGGAAGCTCCCCTGTACTCCTGGCTTGCTTGGAGATCAGGGAGTGGCCCTTGTTACAGCCATTCTTGATCTGGCTGTATTGAATCTATTCTGTGGCCTCAGATCCAGGTATTTGAAGATGGAGCAGATACTACTTCCCCAGAGACACCTGATTCTTCTGCTTCAAAAGTCCTCAAAAGAGGTAACAACCACCCATTTAAGTTGTCTCAGCACATACAGGAGTCCCCAGGACTTTTCTCATAACATGGAGCCACAGTGGACCCTGAGATTTTTTTTCCATTACTACCATATTCCCTTGTCTTGCCCTACCCACCATGATGTTCTCTGCCCTACCCCTCTATACAAGCACACACTTTGTTTCTGTTTGCTTTCACAGAGGGAACTGATACAACTGCGAAGACTAGCAAACTGGTGAGTGGTTTGGGGGTGGGAGTAGGAAGTAATAGAGGGAGGGGAAAGAGAACCAAAGGAGGGATACCCAGGCAGGTAGAAACAGTAGGTGAATCTAAACTGAGTTAACCTTCTAGTCTCTCCAGCCTCCCTGAGAAAGAAGCTGACTGGGTATGAATTGCTGTATTATAGTTATAGTAAAGGTGGTAGCAGGGAAAAACTCTTAGGCTCCAGAAGTTCAGGGTCAAATGGTGGCGAGTTGAGGGTGATAGGAATGACAGGTCTGACCCCAGTAGTGTACCCAACTTTCTACCTTTTGGTATCTAAAGATGCTAATGTTTAAAGGGTCTGAGGGTAGGGGTAGGGTAGAAGGTAGAGGAAGAAGGAGCTCTCCTATTAACAAGTGAATGTCAAGGAGCTGGGCCCTCTGTTTCCTATTTTAGGCTGAACACAGAGGGCCCTTCCTAGCTCCCCTCTGTCACTCTGTGCAGGGTGTGTGAGGTGGGGCTCCAGACTGCAGCTTCTCTGGGCCAGGGTGTGGACATCCTGGAAGCTGAACCTTGAAGAAACCCTCATCTCTCTTGTCCAGGGCTTGGCAGTGACCTGAGTCCCCCCTCTTACCTGTGTATGCCTAAGTTGGTCTTAACACCTACGCTCAGGATGTCTGGCCAGCTAATACAATGCGATGTCTGTTCTCTAACTCTGCCCTTTCCTACTCCTCATGCAGCGGGGACTGAAGCCTAAGAAGGTGGTGTGCTTACTATTTGTGCCTGGGTGGGTGGGGCCCGTGAGCCCCCTCTCCAGCTGTCCTGCATGTCCTTGGGCTGCTGCATGTGTGTGTGTGTGACCTTGGGGCTGGGATGACCAGAGGAAATGGCAGCCTTGGCTCTCAGAGTTCCTTTGATGTGTGCAAGGACATCTGGCTCAGTGTCCAGGCCCAGGTAGCACTGATTAGTGACAATTTCCCCCTGCCCCAAGACTCCAGGTCATAGACTCCCCAGTCAAAGACTATTAGCATTTAACTATAAATAGCAGCAGCATGAAATAGAGCATCTACTGAGTTACTGTGGGTTCTCACTTAGCCAGAGCTTGGGGGGCCATGGGAGAGTAGACTCAGGAATGAGACTGGAGAAAGTACCAAGTGAGATGATTGTGCAAGGAGACAGGTCAGGGAACAGAGCACAGGAAGAACAGTCCTGAGTTGGAAAGCCTGAGAGTCTTCTTGTGCCTGCCTCTGGGTGGGTGCTGCCATAAACACCCACCTCCACTCTGCCCTATCACCCTTTCATTGCCTTCTCCTTCCTCTGGTGGTGTGCCTGAGGCCTACATCCTACCCCCTGCAGCCTTCCATCAACTGTCATTGGAGTGGGGCTCAACTGTGCCACCTCCCCTCCCCACCACAGACTTTTTTAAACTCTTAAATTGCTGCCATGGCCACTTCCTCACACCAGCTCCTGCTGTGGACCTCTGCCCAAGCTGTCTGTGACCTGCATGTTCCTGTCTGACCCGTACCTACTGTGCTGTATGTACAACACTGTGATTTCCTTGTTGCCAGTCTGTCTCAGGCGTTTGTGACATTGCATGGAGAACTGCTGGTTTGGGGCAATTGGAAGGGAGAGGAAAATATCTTCTTTTAGATTCCTGATTGATGATGGGTCCTCACTTTGGAGTCATGCCATGGTAGAAAGGACATGCTGATATTCGCTTTGGTGCCTGGCTCTGGGTTGGAATGGGGGCATGTAAGGAAAACAATGGTGTAAAGGTTGCCAGCCCCATTCCGGAGTCATAAAAACTTGGTTTTGTCCCTTGATTATTGTCTCCTGGTTGGGGCTCCTATCTCACCTCGGGCTCCTGAATAGAGAAGAGCATGAAACTATAGTCTGATATTTATGGAGAAGTTTTGGCCATTGCCTGACCTGACCCTGGGCTGGGACCTAAGTATGCCCAAATCCTGGGGCTTTGGCAGCTACCTGAGAAAATGTGTCAAAGCCCAGCCTAGGCTGCCCATGCCACCTTTCTGTACTCACGGTGGAAAGTGTCAGTCAAATAGTTGAATGCCCCTTGTCTCTAGTCTTCCTCACAATGGTTCTCACAAAGCAGATCACTTAGCACAGGGCCTCTGCTCTCACCCATGTGGAATGGGAAGCCAGTTCCAGAGCAAAAGAGCATGCTTTGAAGGGGAGGGCAGAAGAGAACCTGGATGTCTCAGCTAAGTGCTCAGTTCTTTCTGGAAGCCCTTTAGAAACAGGCTTTAACTTTTCACAATCAGGGGATGGTTGGGAGAGAAGCCCACCCACTGTCATTAGAGCTGCTACTACCCAGATGGAATGTTTGCTAGGGTTTATTAATCACTATGTATGCTTCTCAGAGCCGAAGCCTGTTGCTAAAGGGGCACTCTAGATGTGTGTGCCAGAAAAGAGACCATAAGGATGTTTCCAGGGTGTATAAAAGACAAGTGGAGTTGATGGGATTGTGGGGGCTACAGAGTGTGAGCAGGGAGGCCCTGTGTCTCCGCACAGGATGCCCTGGCTCCATAAGCGTCATGTCTGGGATGGCTCCTGGCCTAGTTTTTTGGGGCAAGCTCTTGGGGGTGGGCAAGGGAAGAGAGAGAGGAGCCACAACCTGTTCTTTGGAAGAAGCATCAAGGCCGGCTCTGCGCATGACTTTGTCGAGTCAGAAGAGGAGGAGGAGCCAGCAGAGCCCTGGGCAGTTGCTAGGTGACTGAGGAGCAGTGGCTCCACCCCCATGGAGCAGAGGAGGGTGGGTGCATGACGTCAGGTGGAGCTGGTGCTGCGGCCACTGAGGCTGCCATCAGCCTAAGCTGGCGAACTGGGCCAGGCGCCGCTCCGCCCTGGTGCCTGCCGGAGACTGGTGGTCCCGCTGCGCATCTGCAGGGGCCTCTGTGTCAGAGCGGCAGCCGTTTGCAGGCTGGGAAGCTGCTGCACCGGGAAGCTGAGGCTGCATTGTTGGGATTTGATGCACTAATCTCCTGTCTCCGCCGCCTTTCCCTCTGTTCGGTCTCTTTCCCTCCCTCCCTTCGTCTGTCCTTCCTCTGTGTGTTTGTCTATCCTCCTCTATCCCTCCTTCTCTTTCCTCTCCTTGCTTTCTTTGGTTTTCTGCAATGATGAGACAGGCACCGACAGCCCGAAAGGTACTCTTGCTTGCTCTGGTCCTGCTGCCGGGTTGCCAGGGCAATGGTGGCAGCAGGCGGTGGGGGTGGGGGCTGATCGACTTCATCTGTCTACCTGGTTGGGGGAGGAGGGGGCTGATGGAGGTAGGGGGCAGGGAGAGGTGTGTGTCACTGCCATGCCCCACGCCCTGAGCATTTGCTCCCTGCCCTGCCTGCTTTTGGCTCTGAGTCTTATGTTCCAGGCCTTGTACCCAGTGGCCTCAAAGGCTTGGGCTTCAGGCAGCCTCCACTGAAAACTGGCTCTGGGAGAGTTTCCTGTGGTAGAACCTGGGGAGGCTAGCTCATGTGTCCCAGTGCCTCTAGCAGGCCTGCCCACCTCACTCAGCCTTTGCTAGAATGCCTCTTGGTTTTCTCCCAGCAGCTCCCCTCCCCAAGGGTTTGTATCAGGGTGTTTTACCAGGGTGGGATAAAGACCCTAGAATAGTTTTTGACCAACAGATATGGAAGCTTAGCCTAGGAGATTAGTCTCCTTGGGCTTAGTGTATCCTGAAAATAGGGCCCAAGCCAAATCTTGTTTTTGCCAGAGCGATGAGACACTGGGTAGCAAGAACACTATTTGGGAGTTGGCCTTAGTTGTCCATTTACCACTTTGCAGTAACCTGAAGGGTTTCTGAATTTGGTTTAAGGCAATACTTTCTGTATGCTGCTGCCCACCCCCACCTCCTTTCGTACAGCTGGGTGGGGTTACTTTGCTGAGCTCTGGGCTTCTGCTAATGCAATATTCATGGTCCTGACACCTGAGCCCTCTGCTCTAGGGATGGGGACTGCTGCAGGATTTGGTCATGGAGAAGGGGGTAGGGAGGACAGCAGTGTTTTTCTGTCTTAGGGACCTGATCTCCCACTTCTGTGCTTATATGACTATTGTCACATAGGGTTTCTAGGGAGTCCTCTATGGACTTGAAGGAAGAGGCTGACCTGGGAAAGTCCTTGGGAGTGGTGGCTGGGCGGGGCCTCTGGCTCTGGGCTGGAGTGGGAAGAGGTTGTTCACAGAAGGACTGGTCTCCGGAGACCCTCTCACCAGCTGCTGCCTCTGGTCTCCTGTGTCTCAACCTGTGAGACAGACTTCTGGGATTTCCAGGGTGTCTGAAGGGGTGAGGCCTGCCAGGGTTGGGCAAAAGTCGAGGCAGGAACTAAGGAGAACTGGAGTTCTGGGATCCTGGAGTAGGAATGTAGCGATTCAGTGGAGGGAGAAGGGGATGGGATGTGGGAGCGGGTGGGCAGCTGACTGTAGCCCCATACTTGTTACTTCTTCTGCTCTCATTGCTGTCCCTTTTGCTGTCTGTCTTTCTGCCATTATCATTTCTTTCCTGACTACTTCTCCTCTGGCTCCTGTTGCCTGTCCAGACCACAACTCGGCGGCCCAAGGTGAGAAAAAACAGGCCTCTGTACAAGCCACTGCTGAGTGTACACACACATTTCAGGCATTTGCATGTACATGGGCATGTGTAAGATCAAGTAAAAATTGGTTACCATGCATCCTAGTTTCTCTTTGAGGGGGAAGGGAGATTGGGGTGATGACAGGCCTTTCCTGGGAAAATGAGTTTTGACTTTTAGGAGGTTGTCTAAGCCAGTAGCTTAAATGCAAAAGATAATGAGTGGGGTTGTGGTTAATCAAAACAGGCTTTCTTGAACAAGGGAATTTTAACCAGTTTTGAGGGGAGGGATTGGGAGAGAGGTAAAGAACATGGTAGCATAAAATGTCAGTAGAAAAGGAGGTAAGTGTATCTGTGAAAGGCTTTGAGTAGGGGTGTCCATGGATAGCACATGGTCTCTGAGTGTCAGCTCACTGGTAGAGCTTCCAGGCTCAGCACTGCTAGGGGGGCCTCAGCACCAGAGGGGCTTCAGGGCAGCTCCTCCCCATGCCTCAGGGGCTTGCGTACTGTTTCCTGATTAGAGCTCCTTTGTCTTGGGGGAGGAAGATGATATAAGGGTTGTTTCAGGGGTACACCTTTCACCTTGGCCGTTTTACCTACAGGGTCCCCTGAAATAGACCAAGGGGAGGGAGATTTCAGCTTGACTCCCAAAGAGGAGGGAGGGCCTAGCAGGGGTAGAGAGCCTGGCATCCCCACTTTTAGCCCAGCCTTCTCTGGGAACATGAATATTGGAGAACAAAATCTAATCTGTTCTTTTTCTCTAGGAGTGACATTGTGGTACTTTTCCCCCTGGGGGAGGAGGGCACAGACCTGGAGCAAGGATAGGACTGGGAGTATTAAGAAATTGCTAGAATGATTATAAGTGGGTCATGGGGGGGAGTTCTGAGAAGTAAGGGATTCTGCTCTAAAGGGCAGTGCAGTGCCACAGTTGGGAGGAATGTGGGGTCAGTGCCAAGGGAGGAGCTTTATAATCATGTCTTCCCCCATCCTTTCCTCCCTCGCTCCTCTACCTCCCTCCTTCCTCCCCCTGTCCTTTGTCACTTTCTTTCTCTGACTCTCTGTGTCATTTTCTCTCTCCCTTTCACTCTGTTTCTCTATTCTCACTGTGCTTTGATACTCTCTGCTTTTTTCCTTCTCTGTGTCCTTCACTTGTTATATTTTCATATTCTTTCTCTCTCCCCTTTGCCATCCCCATCTTTTGTTCTCTTTCTGGCCTGCTCCTCCCCTCTCTGAATAGCCCGCCCGCCCAGCCAGTACCGGGGTGTCTGGAGCCAGTAGCTCTCTGGGCCCCTCTGGCTCAGCATCAGCAGGTGAGCTGAGCAGCAGTGAGCCCAGCACCCCAGCTCAGACTCCGCTGGCAGCACCCATCATCCCCACACCGGTTCTCACCTCTCCTGGAGCGGCCCCCCCGCTTCCTTCTCCCTCCAAGGTAAGGACTGGGGTTGGAGTGAAGGAGAATCAAGACACCATGAGGTCTGTGACCCCTGTTTGGGTCTTGAAAATTTCCCAGGGTTGGCAAAGGCCCAGAACTTGGATCATAAAGGGTGGGGACATAGTATATGGATATCTTGCTACTGACTGAGCTACCCTTTCCTTTCCTGCCCCTCTCCTGTACTTTTCCCATATACACTGTGCCATGGTTTCCTCTCAAGATGTTTGCACACCACTTGCTTTTGACCCTGGGTCTGGGTTGAATTTTGCACACATTCTTGTCTTGGTGGGAGGAAGGGGTGGGCCGTGCATAGACTGCAGGGCCTCTCCTTTGCAGGAGGAAGAGGGACTGAGGGCCCAGGTGCGAGACCTAGAGGAGAAACTGGAGACCCTGCGTCTGAAGCGGGCAGAAGACAAGGCAAAGCTGAAAGAGCTGGAGAAACACAAGATCCAGCTGGAGCAGGTGCAGGAATGGAAGAGCAAAATGCAGGAACAGCAGGCAGACCTACAGCGGCGCCTCAAGGAGGCGCGGAAGGTGGGACTCTGGATGAAAGGGGTGGCTGGGGAGGCCGAGAGACCAAAGAGGTGTGCCAGAAACTAGACTGAGGCTGGAGCCTGGAACACCCTGAGAAAGGATGGCATGGTGTATCTTTATGCTCATACCCCTCTTACCCCTACCCTTCCTCAGGAAGCCAAGGAGGCCCTGGAGGCAAAGGAACGCTACATGGAAGAGATGGCTGACACTGCTGATGCCATTGAGATGGCCACTCTGGACAAGGAGATGGCTGAAGAGCGGGCTGAGTCTCTGCAGCAGGAGGTGGAGGCACTGAAGGAGCGTGTGGACGAGCTCACCACTGACTTGGAGATCCTCAAGGCCGAGATTGAAGAGAAAGGTAAGGGGCTAGGAGCTGCTGGGGGCCAAATGGTGGGTGAGAACCAGGCCTGAAAGTGTTAATGGTCTTCTGCAGGCTCAGATGGGGCCGCATCCAGTTATCAGCTGAAGCAGCTCGAGGAGCAAAACGCCCGTCTGAAGGATGCACTGGTGAGGTAGGGCTATCTTCACTGCTTGGCTCTGGCACTCATTCTCCTGTCTCCACATGTGTTAGAGCACCCATTGCCCAGTGACTCTGACACATGTTCTCCTTCTCTCTTTCTGCTTCCCCACAGGATGAGGGATCTTTCTTCTTCGGAGAAGCAGGAGCATGTGAAGCTCCAGAAGCTCATGGAAAAGAAGAACCAAGAGCTAGAAGTTGTGAGGCAACAGCGGGAGCGTCTGCAGGAGGAGCTGAGCCAGGCAGAGAGCACCATTGATGAGCTTAAGGAGCAGGTCTGGGGAGCCCAGCCCCTCACCCAGAATCCCCCTACCTGATTCTCCTAATGATGCCACCTTTTTCTAGGCACCTGCCAGTAGCCCTTCTCTTCTTTCCCTCCCTGGAACACAGGTGGATGCTGCTCTGGGTGCTGAGGAGATGGTGGAGATGCTGACAGATCGGAACCTGAATCTGGAGGAGAAAGTGCGGGAGTTGAGGGAGACTGTGGGGGACTTGGTAAGAGAAGAGCAGACCCTTGACTTCTGACCCTAACAGAGGATTTTCGGAAGGGACCTGCTGAGAGAGAGAGTGACACATGATCCCCGACCTTTGAGTGGGGTGTAGGGTTAGGGGATCCATCCTGGCCTTGCTACCCTGACTCTGCCTTTCCTTGGCTTCAACTACCTTGTGGTGTCCCAGGAAGCGATGAATGAGATGAACGATGAGCTGCAGGAGAATGCACGTGAGACAGAACTGGAGCTGCGGGAGCAGCTGGACATGGCTGGTGCTCGAGTGCGCGAGGCCCAGAAGCGTGTGGAGGCAGCCCAGGAGACAGTTGCAGACTACCAGCAAACCATTAAGAAGTACCGCCAGCTGACTGCTCATCTACAGGTGCCTGCCCAGCCCCTGATCTCTGCCCCCGATCATGCCAGGATTCCCTCATGACCCAGCTGTGCCTAACTGTCTCTGCTCCCAGGACGTGAATCGGGAACTGACAAACCAGCAGGAAGCGTCTGTGGAGAGGCAGCAGCAGCCTCCTCCAGAGACTTTTGACTTCAAAATCAAGTTTGCTGAGACTAAGGCTCATGCCAAGGTCAGGAAACGGGGTGGGCCTGGGGACGGGGTGTTAGGGAGCCATCCTGGGTATGGCTGTGGGCTGACCTGGTATAGGGTTCTGGGCTTCAGCTTCCTGGGGGAAGGGGTGCTTTATGTGGTGTTTGGAAGACTCCTGGCCTGGGCTTGGCCTAGAAGAAGGAAGGGACCTGGTGAAGCAAGGCATGGTGGTTCTGGAACTCTCTCTACCCTGGCTGAGAGCCCTCCTCCCTATGTACCTCACAGGCAATTGAGATGGAATTGAGGCAGATGGAGGTGGCCCAGGCCAACCGACACATGTCCCTGCTGACAGCTTTCATGCCTGACAGCTTCCTTCGGCCTGGTGGGGACCATGACTGCGTCCTGGTGCTGCTGCTCATGCCTCGTCTCATTTGCAAGGTATAGCCAATCAATCACATGTTCAACAGAAATCTCTACCCACAAAGGGTATATGATGCAGTGGAGGAACACAGAGTTAGCAAAGTCACAGAGGAATATGTACTACAACTTCTGTGTTAAGTAGGAGAGGTAGGTTCTTTGAGAGAGCATAAAAGGGATCTGATTTAGATGGGGTCAGGGTGTGACTGAAGGAATAACATTTGAGCTGAGGGCCAAAAGGTGACTAGGAGTTAGCTGGGGGATGATCAGCAGGATAGCATTCTAGGTGGAGACAGAGCAGGAATGGCAGCTTGAAGTCAGGAAAGAGCTTGGTCCACTGGTGCCACCACCCTTTCATTTGCACATCCTGAATTCTCACAACCTCCAGTAGTCACATCATTACCCTTTCACCATGCGAGATTCCCCACCCATCTAAGAGCTATTTCTGCTTTCTCTCCTGTGTGTGTTCATGCTCCCTGTAGAGTTGTTAAGCTCTGTGTTCTGTATGAGTCTGTGTTCTCCATCCTCTGCTCTGAGTCTCAGGTCCCTGGTGCTTCTTCCCACAGGCAGAGCTTATCCGGAAGCAGGCCCAGGAGAAGTTTGAACTAAGTGAGAACTGTTCAGAGCGGCCTGGGCTGCGAGGAGCTGCAGGGGAGCAGCTCAGCTTTGCTGCTGGGCTGGTATACTCGCTGAGTCTGCTGCAGGCCACACTACACCGCTATGAGCAGTAAGTGACGCTTGACTCCCCCACTCCAGGGGCATGGGTCCAGGATTGACTGGAACTAAGATTGCCTGGCAGACTCCGGCCTCACAAAGCCCTTCTTTGATCTCTAGTGCCCTGTCTCAGTGCAATGTGGATGTGTATAAAAAAGTGGGCAGCCTCTACCCTGAGATGAGTGCCCACGAGCGTTCCTTGGATTTCCTTATTGAGCTCCTGCACAAGGATCAGCTGGATGAAACTGTCAATGTGGAGCCTCTCACCAAGGCCATCAAGTACTACCAGGTCTGGGGCAAGAAATGAGACTTGGGGCAGGAAGCAGGGAAACTTTCACCTGATCGGGACTATTGCCAATGTATTCAAGGTCGTATGTCCCAGGTCAGCTGCTTGAGACCTGGTTTGCTCTTAGATGAACTTGCCTTATAATGCAGCTGCTTGAGGGTTTTGGATTCTCTTGTATGTCTAGAGACCCATGGTGACCAGGGCTCAAACTACAGTTTGGGAAGAACTCCCCATCTTTCCAGGGCTGACTACTTCTCTTGTCATCCTCCCCTCAGCATCTGTATAGCATCCACCTTGCCGAACAGCCTGAGGACAGTACCATGCAGCTGGCTGACCACATAAAGGTGAAGTGTCTGGGCCAGTGGTTGAGTCCCCTATAGAGATCACAAATGGAGAACATCAGATCAAGAGATCAAGCACCTGAGGGCTGTCACATAAGACTGGAACAGGGTTACCAAAGCCAGATTAGGGAAGCCAGAGGACGCACTTATTGTATGGGAGTCGACAGAGGGTAGGGACTTCTTAGAGATGATGATAGAACAGAAGGGCTGTTGGGGGCTGACGACCACATGCTTCTGTCCTCACAGTTCACCCAGAGTGCCCTGGACTGCATGGGTGTGGAGGTAGGACGGCTGCGTGCCTTCTTGCAGGTGAGAGCACATCTAAATCTATGTGAGCTACTCTTCTTTCTTAGTCTTCTCATCCCCAGCCCTAATGCTGACTTCATTTTCTTTCTCCTGGGTAGGGTGGGCAGGAGGCTACAGATATTGCCCTCTTGCTGCGGGACCTGGAAACATCGTGCAGTGACATCCGCCAGTTCTGCAAGAAGATCCGAAGACGAATGCCAGGGACGGATGCTCCTGGAATCCCAGCTGCACTGGCCTTTGGACCACAGGTTTAGGGCTGCGAATGGGGAAGGGAAGGAAGCTGAGCAGGTGGGGCCTAGCACATTACTATCTGGATCTGATCAAGGGACAAAGATGGTTTTGGGGTAGCTGGGAACTGTGGTGCTGGACCCAGGGTGGGCTCCTGACTCTGTGACCTGTCATACAGGTATCTGACACACTCCTAGACTGCAGGAAACACTTGACTTGGGTAGTGGCTGTGCTGCAGGAGGTGGCAGCAGCTGCTGCTCAGCTCATTGCCCCGCTGGCGGAGAATGAAGGCCTGCCTGTGGCTGCCCTGGAGGAGTTGGCTTTCAAAGCAAGCGAGCAGGTGGGCCTGGATGGCTGGGCAGAAGGTGGTGGGGAGTCAGTGGCCAGTGTGAGGCTCTCACTCCTGCCCTTGGCTCTTGCAGATCTATGGGACCCCCTCCAGCAGCCCCTATGAGTGTCTGCGCCAGTCATGCAACATTCTCATCAGTACCATGAACAAGCTGGCCACAGCCATGCAAGAGGGGGAGTATGATGCAGAGCGGCCTCCTAGTAAGGTGGGTGGAGATTTCCTTGGAGAGGCTGCAGAGGCCTGGAGGAGCAGGACTTGCAGAGCTGTTGCTAGTTGTGGGAGGGTGGGAGACAAGAGGAAGGCATCTGGAAGGCAAGCTTTCCCCTATGATGGGATCTCTCTGAAAGGTGCACATTGGTGATCTTCTCTCTCCACCCCCACCCTCTGCCACCCTATTCTTTAGCCTCCCCCAGTTGAGCTGCGGGCTGCAGCCCTTCGTGCAGAGATCACAGATGCTGAAGGCCTGGGTTTGAAGCTTGAAGATCGAGAGACAGTTATCAAGGAGTTGAAGAAGTCACTCAAGATTAAGGTGAGGGGGAAGGGTAGGCTTAGGATCTAGGAGTCAGAGTTGGTGGGACCCAGGGCAGCAGCGAGTGTTGGGGATCAGGACTGAGATGGCTTGGGGGTTGGGAGAAGTAAGGCATATGATCAATGGGAGCTCTAGTGAGCCCTCAGGGAGTTTTCTGTCTCATGGTGTAGCCCAGGTTGCAGGTACCAGGGACCATGGGGAGGATGTTAGGGAACTAGAAGCTCTCTGTCCTTGTCCAGGGAGAGGAGCTGAGTGAGGCCAATGTGAGGCTGAGCCTCCTAGAGAAGAAGCTCGACAGTGCTGCCAAGGATGCAGATGAGCGCATCGAGAAAGTCCAGACTCGGCTGGAGGAGACCCAGGCGCTGCTGCGGAAGAAGGAGAAGTCAGGCATCTTCTTCAGGGCCTGCTTCCTTTAATCCTCCCTCCTGTTAGAGTCTCTCTGCCTCCTAATGCATCCCCCTACTTGCCCTCTAGTAGTGAGACTCTCCCCGTATTCCTTCCCCACTGCCAACCCCATTGTATCACCCCCACCTGAGCCTGTGCTGCCCTGCTCCGGGCTCCTCACCAGCAGGTTGCTCCAAGGACCTCTCAGGACTGAATAGGGGGGAGGAGGGGAGCTGTCCTTAAGGTGCACTGCCCAAGTCCAGATTCTCTTCCACAGAGAGTTTGAGGAGACAATGGATGCGCTCCAGGCTGACATTGACCAGCTGGAAGCAGAGAAGGCAGAGCTAAAGCAGCGGCTGAACAGCCAGTCCAAGCGTACAATCGAGGGGCTACGGGGGCCCCCTCCTTCAGGCATTGCTACCCTGGTCTCTGGCATTGCTGGTGGTGAGTGCAGTGAGATAGGAGCACTGGCACAGAGGAGATTGTCCTGTCTCCTGTCCTTGGCCTCAGTTTGAACTCTGCCCCCTTCATAGCCCCTGGATGTTCAGCCAGGAAAGTGCCTGCCCAGTTTCACTCTGTGCCAGCTTTCACCAGGCTTTCACTCCCTCAAAAGATAAGTGCTGATTTCCTCTAACCAAAGAAGGGCATTCCCAAATTGTCACCAAAGTTCAAAATAACAATGACAGTTGGACTCTAGTGGGTGTCCTTTCTGGGTTTGCAGTCTGGCCTTTCTGTCCCAGCCCTATATCCCAGAGGGTCATCAGGCTGAGCTGACTCTCCTCGGGCATCCAGGCCTGCCTGATGCCTGCTCATTGTTCCTCTGCTTGGGCACTGTGTTTCCCCACTGAGTTCACATGGCTTCGTGCTGTGATGTAGTCATCTCTTCCATTGCTGAATTCTTCCAGTTTTGCTTGGGACTTGTGTTCTGTTCACTCAGTATGGTCAGGCCTCCTTATCTTGAGTTTTTCTGGCTCCCAGGCCCAGCCACCTGAGTTTCCTAAGAAGGTGGCTGCTTCCATCTTGGTTCTCATCTGCCCTATAGTATATTTTTGTTCTCTCTTCAGTTCCTGACTTACCTTTGCCCTTCTCATGTCAAGAAGACAAACTCCTTGCCCTGGCATTAAACCTTCCAGACCTCTAGACTTTCCGCGCTGCTCTTGTGTCTTCTCAGTTGACCTCACCTAGGTAGAGTGTTGTTCTCATCAGAGTCCCCATCACTGCCACCTCCTGGCTTTGCGAAGTGACCAAGCACCTTCTTGACTTTAAATTCCCATGGTACAGACTGCTCTGTGTTCTTTTAAGGGAGTCTTCAGAATTACCACATCACATTGTTTTAGCATAGGCTCTTTAAATAAACGCTGGTTCTGAGTTTATGAAACTTCCCACCAAAAAGGGGAGTCTTTTGCCTGAGAGCAATGGAGACACCTGAGGAGCAGGAGAATGTGTTTGCACCCTCAACTTAAGCTTTGCTGGGTGAGCTCTAAGGATACAGATATACAGTGTCTCTGGAGATGGGGTGTGAGACAGAAAGGCAGGATCAGCCTTGTGCCCCAAGTATGGCCTGCAGCACACACTCACTTTGCCATTCCTCCTCACACATCAGATTGTCTCTTGGCCTCACTCCCATTTGCTGTCATTCACATATATCTGCTCTTTCTTCCCCAAAGGCAGGTAGCAGGGGCAGGGTCTTGTTGGAGAAGATATGGTAACCAAGACAAGGGTTTTCCTGTAGATAGTGTCCAGGATTCCTCTGGTGTGTCCCCCTAACCCCCAAGTCATTTAATTCCTCTCTCCTCTTTTCTTGCTTCCCCATGGGCTATCCCGAACACAGAAGAACAGCAGCGAGGTAGAGACCCACCCTGCCTGGGGCTTGCCAGGGCTGGTGGGAATTGGAGTTGGGGGAGCAGGGTGATGTTTCCTCCTTGGGAAGCCAGGACTGGCAGGGAAGGGCAATAAAGAAAGGGGAAGAGCAGGCATGGGGCCTTTTTCAACCCTCTCTGCCTGGGACTGATGACATTTGTTATGATACCCACAGGGGGCGCCCCTGGGCAGGCTCCGGGATCCATGCCAGGCCCTGGGCTGGTGAAGGACTCACCACTGCTGCTTCAGCAGATCTCTGCTATGAGGCTGCACATCTCCCAGCTCCAGCATGAGAACAGCGTACTCAAGGTGAGGGAGCCACAGGGAGGACTGAGGTGGGGGATGGAGCATACCTGCCCCATTGGTGACAGATGGCAGGGGCCTTCTAGCACCTCATACCACTATCCCTCTTTTCTCCCAAACAGGGAGCCCAGATGAAGGCATCCTTGGCAGCCCTGCCCCCCTTGCATGTTGCAAAGTTATCCCTCCCACCCCACGAAGGCCCTGGCGGTGAGCTAGCAGCTGGAGCACTGTATCGTAAGACCAGCCAGCTGCTGGAGACATTGAATCAGCTGAGCACACACACCCATGTAGTAGACATCACTCGCACCAGCCCTGGTATGTGTCCCCTACCCCTAAGATGAATAACACACCACTTCTCTTGGCCCAGGGATTTAGCCACTACCCAGGCAGTCCTCACACTATAGAGGCTCTTCCCAGCAGTCTTCTTTGCCTCAGTGTTCGGTTTGCTTGGTTCACCCACTCTCTCTTAAGTGCTTGGCCATGAGAGGGTCTAGTACCTGTACTCCTGACCCTTAATCCAGTATAGTTGCCTGCCTGGGCCTTGGTGGGCCTTACCAGCTTTCCCTCCCCACAGCAGCCAAGAGCCCGTCAGCCCAGCTTATGGAACAAGTGGCTCAGCTTAAGTCCCTGAGTGACACCATCGAGAAACTCAAGGTCAGCTCAGACCCTGCTCTTCCTTACCCTACAGAGCTCACTTCAGAGCAGTCACCAGTGGAGCCAGGCACTTTGGAGTTCCTCTGGGCCAAGCCCTGTGTTAGAATACACCTTGGGGAGAGGTGGAAGAGAAGGCAGGGTTCTTGCCTTGGAAGCTCACATTCTGAGTGCCAACAGAGGACAGATTCTCATAACAAAACAGCTGAGCTAGGATCATCTCTAGAGCGAGTAGTTCAGGCTGCAGTTTCTGTCAGGGTGAGGTCATCGTGGGGTAGATGGTTGGGCATAGTTTCCCAGAGGCAGTAGAATCTGAGTGGAGCCTTAAGGGATAAGGACTTGTAAAGTAAGGAGGGAGGTTGCGGTGGGGATGTGGTTGGAGGGGAGAGCAAAAGTATAGTGATAGAGAGGACTGAGCCCTGGTCCTGGCATTAGTGTCTCTGTGAAACAAGGGTGGTCTAGTGCTAGCCTTTGGGGTTTCCCTCAATGAACCCTTGTCTTCGTCTACCCTTCCCTAGGATGAGGTCCTCAAGGAGACAGTGTCTCAGCGTCCCGGAGCCACAGTACCCACTGATTTTGCCATCTTCCCTTCATCAGCCTTCCTCAGGGTAAGGGGGAGCATGGGTGGAGGGCGGGATAGTGTGGGGGGCTCAGGTGGGTCCTCCTGCCTCCTGCTGAGACTGAAGAGGCGTTGGAGTCTCAGGTCCAACAACTGCATATCATGGCTTATCTGGCCAACTCTTACTTGCAAGTAACTCAAAAGTGCTTGCAGTGCTCTAGAAATTCCAGTATTTTGGCACATAAACAGTACCTTCCATGACTTTGGACACCAAGAAGAGCTCAGAACTCCATTGTCAGACTATGTACCCCCATTCTGAATTGAAAAATGTGGTCACCATGGCCTAGGAACTCAAAAGCCTCAGTGTCCTAGGGGCTGCCTTGGTCTCAGTGCTCAGGGACTCCTTCAGTGGCCCACAGCTCAAGTGAGGCCCTGACCTGGGGTCCTGATTACTTCACCAACCCTCAGGCCAAAGAGGAGCAGCAGGATGACACAGTCTACGTGGGCAAAGTGAGCTTCTCATGTGCAGCTGGTCTCGGACAGCGACACCGGCTGGTGCTGACCCAGGAGCAGCTGCACCAGCTTCACAGTCGCCTCATCTCCTAAGCACTCCTCCCCCCTTTGTCCCCTTCAACCCTCATTCCCCTGGTGCCACTCTGCCTGATGCACAGCCACCTCGGCCAGCCTACAGGTAGAACCATGTGGGCTAAGCTCTTCCTGCCCCATTCACTTCACTCTCTCCCTGTCGGTGCCCTGCCCTGCCCTGGGTTCCCTCGTTCCCATTCCTGACCTCTGCCATAATTTGATGTTCAGCTGCTCCCTCCTTCCTGAGGGGCCTCAGGGCATGTGGGGGGTAGGCTGAGACCCCACCACCAAAGGTTGAGTGAGGTCCCCCTGATTGAGGACTTCACCCCTTGATTAAAGCAACTTCTGCTTCATTGCTTTCTGTGTGGTGTTGAGAATGGGACTTGGGCCATCTGGCTCAGAGCAGGAGTGGAGCAGAAGGGAAACTGAGGAAGCTTGGCTGTGTCAAATTTGAGTGCCCTCTCTGTAGTGACCAGTAGAATACTGCTCTCAAATTCATGTGCAGTGAAGGGCCTTCCCTAACTCCACAGATAAACTTAGGTACCTCACTTTATTTATGGAGTTAGGAGGGCCAGGAGGTTGTAGCCTTTGCCAGCCCTGCCTTTGCTTTCTGGAGCTTCCACTGCTCTTCAGTTCAGTTTTTGGAGCTGGAACAAACGATATAATCACCACCCCAGCCATATCTATCTATTTATGTGTCTGTCTGTCTGTCTGTCTGTCTCTCTCTCTCTCTCCCTCTCTCTCCCTCTCCCTCCCTCTCCCTCTCTCTCCCTCTCTCTCTCTCTCTCCCTCTCCCTCTCCCTCTCTCCCTCTCTCCCTCTCTCTCCCTCTTGATGGGGTCTTGCTTTGTTGCCCAGGCTGGACTGAAAGTCCTGGGCTCATGCGATTCTCCCGCCTCAGCCTTCTGAGCAGCTGGGACTACAGGTGTGTGCCACTGTCACCTGGCTTCCCAGCCAGCTTTCTGATGCACTGACTAGAGTCTCCGCATAAGACCCAGGGCCTCAGAGGGAAAATTTATGAAACAAGGGAAAACTGAAGCAGCAAACTAGTAGGAAAGGATAGAAGTTACAAACACTACTGCCAAACTCCACTACAAATTAGTATTACCCAGGGAGCTTCTTTCAAAAATTTACAGCTTTTTGGATCTTGACCTAGACCTACTGAAAATACCTTTAGGATTGGCCGCATTAGGCCAGTGAGCAGCACGCTAGCATTTTAGAGCTTAGCCCCAGTTTGGTTTAGTTGGCTGGCTTCTTGATACTCTTTTTTATTCCTCACTTGGGGAAACAAATCCAGCCCAAGCTCCCAAAAAGCTCTAATCTAGTTGGAGAAAGAGACCCTTGGCACTTCAGAGCATCCCAGCTAGGCCAGGCCCTTTGCTCATGTGCTTCCTGTCTTGAGGGAAAGGGGCAGATAGGAGGAGGGGGCCCCAAGGTCAGAGCCCAAAGGACACATTCCCAATTAGTACACTCTCTGGAAATGTCAGTGGGTTGTGGCATTTGAATGCCTGCTCTGTGCCTTAGCCTTTCTCAACTGGGATTCATAGAGAAAATGATTTGAGCGACTTTTCTCAGTACTCTCAAGGATGGTACACAAGCAATATCATTTTAGATGCCTGGGATATAAAGTGTTACATACATACAAGGGGTGCCTTAGGTAGTTTGGGCTTATCCACAGAACTGGTTGAAAAGGGTTGCTGTGTCTTGACACCAGCATCTTTACCTCATGTCTCCAAATTGGGCTCCTCTAGTGCTAAGGAACTCACAGGCCACACTGTCCTTTTCCTGGGATTGGGTTGTGTTCCTGTCCTTTCTACTCAAGCTGCTGACCTGCTTTTTGATTGGTGGTTTAGACACTGAAGGTCAAGACTGGGCAACCCCTGGTGGCGCTTTGAGAAGAGAACAGGGCATTTTCCCCCCATTCTTTTCCCTTGGTGGTGGTTTCTCACCCCTTGAACCACTGCTCTCTTGAACACCAGACTCATTCATCCAATTACTTGTTGCCCTGTGAGTGCCCCACAAGTATCCATCTCAAAGTCAGCCTGCTTAAAACGGAAGTCATCTCTTCCATGTCCTGGGTATGATATGCCACAAACCTGGATGTCTTTGACTCCTTCACTCTCTTTAGCTAGCTTAGTTACCCAGCCCTATTCAGTTTTTCCTTCGTTACTCTCTCAAATCTGTCCCCTTTTTTCGACCCACTATTAACTTTGTGTACAATGTTTTGCTCTGGGTACATCAGCAGTCTTTAAACTGGTTACACTTCACCTATTGCCTCTCTTTCAACCAGTTTTCCACATTGATGCCAGAAGGACCTTTCCAGAATGCAAACTGGGCCATGGCACTCCCTGATTTAAATCCTGAAATTATTTCTCCAACTAGATTTTAAAATTTAAATAAAATCCTGAAATGGTTACTGTAAATATCTAGAATTTGAAATTTAAATTAACTAGAATGGCACATATGATTTGGGTCCTGCCCACCTCTCTAGTGTCTCACAGGACTGCTTCTCCCCATGTGCCTGGTGGTCCAGCATTAGTGAACTCCTGCAGTTTACTTGCTACCCTGTGCTCTGTCAGGACTCTTCCCACCACCCAGGATGCCATCTTTTTTTTTTTTTTTTTTTGAGACAGAGTCTCACTTTGTTGCCCAGGCTAGAGTGAGTGCCATGGCGTCAGCGTAGCTCACAGCAACCTCAAACTCCTGGGCTCGAGTGATCCTTCTGCCTCAGCCTCCCGGGTAGCTGGGACTACAGGCATGCGCCACCATGCCCGGCTAATTTTTTATATATATATCAGTTGGCCAATTAATTTCTTTCTGTTTATAGTAGAGACGGGGTCTCGCTCTTGCTCAGGCTGGTTTTGAACTCCTGACCTTGAGCAATCCGCCCGCCTCGGCCTCCCAAAGTGCTAGGATTACAGGCGTGAGCCACCACGCCCGGCCGAGCATCTGTTTCTATCGTAATTGTTAGCTAATTCCTTCATCTCCCACTTTAGACAGATTGAGAGTTCCTTTAGGGTGACCTTCCATCTCTGCATCCCTCAAAATACAGAGGAAGGGCACATTATTTGGGGAGGATGATGAGTTTCATTTTGCACATGAGTTTGAGGTGCCTGTGAGAACATCCAAGTGGAGAGGTCCAGTTGATAGTTGGAATGAGCAGTGTTGGGAGCTCAACAGGGAAGTATAGATTGGAGATAGAGTTTGGGGGATGAATTGTGGGTGTGGCATTGGTGGTCGAGGGAATGGTTTGGATGAGGTCACCATCTTAATTTAGGTTACTTAGAAAACTGAACCTAAGGCAAAGCTTAAGTGCTAGTGCTTTATTGGAAGGTACAATCCCAGAGCAGTGAGAGTGAGGGAAAAGAGGAGGAGAAAATCAAAGGTTTGTTTTAGTGAGTTGGCCACTGCCTCACAAAGCCATAGCTGGTTGCTTGCCCACATGGGTTGTCTCTGGATAGACTACACAGAAACACCATGCCTGGCTAGAACTTTATATTGGGATTGATGAAGGGATGGAAAAGAAATTCACCTGCTCTGCCTTTTGCTGATCCTTCACTGCTCAAAGTTTGTCCTGAGGGGTGTTAGCTCCTCCTTGCTTGTGGGGCTTACATTGACCACTGTGAAAGCCAGATCCCATGCCCTACAGCATGGCATTTCATCTAAGTCCTGAAGTGGTGAGGGGAACAGAATATGGGCACTGGCCTGTAGGGGCTGGTCAGGGCAGAGCAAGCAGCTGGAGACCTGGGAGGCAGGTAAGGCTGAGAAGGTCTGAAGCAGCAGGTTACCTGAGGAGAGTGTACAAAGGGAAGGGAAAGGCGGAGTCCTGGGCTACCCTTTGAGGTAAAGAGTCTGCATCTGGAAGGAGCAGCCACTGCAAACAGAGGAGCCCAGAGAAAGTGTAGTCACAGAGCCACCAGAGGAGAGAGAGGAGCTCAGAGGGCAAGTGAGTTCTGCGAAGTGTGCATTGTGATGCCTGGTGAGCTGGCCAGAGCAGCCGACAGGACAGAGGGAGCACAAACAGGGTTGCGGTGGCAAAAAAGGATAAAGTGCGCACTACTGTGTCCCAGGTGGCATCTGTTCATGCGAATTGTGGAGGTTGAGTGGCTAGGCAGATGACAGTGGGAGTGATTTCTGGAATCTGGGATGTGATGGGATGGTGGGAGAGAAGCCTAGTGAGATGCTGCTCTGTGTTTTGAGGATGGAGCCACCTTTGATCCATTAAAACCCAGAACTACCAGTGTGCAGACCCCAGCAGACTGACTGGCAGTTGGCAGGGGCAGGGTAAGAACATTCTCAATTCTGTCCCCTAGGAGCTCCTCTCTTTGAGCATTTTGAGCAGTCCCGGGGCCAACATCACCTGCCCCAACATGGAAGCAACTTTGTGAAGTAAGAATAGGGCTCATATCCCAACTCTCCCACTAAATGAGCTGTCTGAACATGGAGAAGTTATTTAACATTTCAGCCTCTGTTTCTCTGTTTGTAATCTGATGCCAGTAGCACCTTCCTCAGGTAATCTTCTAGGGGAAGATTAAGTGAGACAGCATGGTTGATCCAGGTGCTCAATAAAAAAGCATACCTGGGAGAGGCTGAGATTAAATGAAGAGGAAATGAAATACAAACAGCCACATTGCCAAGACTTACACTTGTGACACAAATAACCATATTTTGAGCCCCAAAATATGGGTACTCCTTGGTGCACCTCGGGTTTCAGCTTGTTTCCGTGGGTGGTTACTATCTTATTTTCTGCCACCCAAGCACCAAGGCTGAGGGAGAGTCTAAACTTGGTGGCACCTCCTCTGCCCCCGTCCCCTACAATTTGAATTCACCTGCTTGGTTCACATTTTCCGTGCTGCACCCTCAGTGGGAAGCAGGGGTGGAGGCAATACAAAGACCCGAATCTGCTGCTGGCTAATGTTAGGAAATGTGCAAGGCCCCAGAGCTAAGGTTCTGCCCCATCCAGCTTTGGGAAGGGGGAGACTAAAAGTGAATTAGGAACAGGTGTGCTACATAACCCAGGTGCCAAGCTGGAGAAGCTTCATAGCACCCACAACCTTGGCCCCTGTCAAGTAGGCCCACGGCACCTGGAGAACACAAGGTCTGAGGGTGAGGGGCCCCTCCTGCTTCTCTGTAGGAGTTACGTTTCTTATAGCTGACTCCTTACCCGGCCTCCCTCCATCTGTACCGTGTGCCAGCACAAACAGGCACCACTTCTCCAAGGAACAGAGGGCCTCCACTCCTCTTCAGAAGGCTGGGGAGTTTGGATGTGGGAATTGGACTCTGTTTCTTAGTAGTTGGTGCCAGAGTAAATATATGTTTCTTGCCCTGTATTTTGTTACCTTTTATTTTTATTTATT